AAGTGTCTCTGCAGAGAGCTCCGCTATTTCTTTGACAGTGCTTTCACATTTATAGCGGTTGCAACAATGTATCTATTTGTTTCCAAATAAAAACATCTGTATCCGAAATGGATACAAATAGATACATTGTTGCAACCGCTATAAATGTGAAAGCACTGTCAAAGAAATAGCGGAGCTCTCTGCAGGGACACTTTTTGCCGGCTGTAGACGGGATGAAAATCGGCCGATTTTTTTTTTTTTACCATTCCTGGTAACGCCAGCCGCTTGAACGACCAATTTTTTGTTTTTTTAAAGAAAAATCGTCTGGTTTTCTCCCCATCTATGGCCTGCAATACACTTTAATATTCTCAGAAACTGTTTAATTAAACTCTAACTAGACAGCGTTTCGTTTTCAAACGCACTGTGCGTCATAATCAAACGGCACGCTTTCCCCCCCCCCATAATATACTATTTGGACCTCCCATCCTTTTTCAGCCGCTTCCTTTCTCCATAGATTTACTTCAGTGATGCTTACACATCGGAACCAGTTTCATGACAATGGTGGACCAAGTCTGGTTCACTCAGAATCTCGTCCACTTCTGCATGGAAACCAATCAGCTTCCAGGTTTTATTGCTAAAGCTTTAATTGAACAAGCTGGGGTTAGAAGTTGATTGGCTCCCATGCACAGGTGCACCAGATTCTGAGTGAACCAACTTTCGTAAGGCCGGCCATACACGGGTCGATTTCCGAACGATTTTTCGTTCGAAAATCGGACCTAAGAATAATCGACCGGTTTTCGCTGTTAGTGGGGAAATGGCACCGGCCGATTTTCGTGGTTCCTCCCCATTTCGTTTATCGGGAATGTTGGAAAATTTGTGAAAAGCAACCGATTTTCATTGGCGGCACCATCGGATTACAGAACGAACAATGTTTTCGATTGAAAAATCGTTCGGAATTCGACCCATGCATGGCCTGATGAAATCTCCCCCATTGTGTCTGCATGCTTGTAGTCTTCCTCAGGGGGCAAGTGTGTGGGGCACACTATGGAGGCAGTTGCCACCCTTGCAACAGGGAGTGCCTGAACAAGGATCTGCATGGCGGGATCACCAGGGATTCTGTTAATGAAAGCTGCAGATTTAAAAAGATTGAAAGCCACTTTTGAAATGAAAACGACATGTTAAAGTGTTACTAAACCCCCAACAGTACAATCAGTCTGTAGATGCAGTAAAGCATGCTTGTGATACTCACTGTGGAACCTAAGGGGTTAATGCTCTGCATTGTGTTAAAAAAAAAAAAAAAAAAGGCTTTTTGATCCTGTCTTCCCTGATTCTCCCCTTCAACTGTCCCCAATACATCTGCTGATAAAACAGCACCTGCACCTTGGGGGCAAGCTGCACATGCTCAGTTTATATTTACTAAAATAACTGCATTTCCATGTTGTGTGTACTGTGGGAGAGCGGATATAGTGAATGCGGGGTCCGGGAAGAGCGGATATAGTGAATGCGGGGTCCGGGGAGAGCGGATATAGTGAATGCAGGGTCCGGGGAGAGCGGATATAGTGAATGCGGGGTCCGGGGAGAGCGGATATAGTGAATGCAGGGTCCGGGGAGAGCGGATATAGTGAATGCAGGGTCCGGGGGAGAGCGGATATAGGGAATGCGGGGTCCGGGGAGAGCGGCTATAGTGAATGCGGGGTCCGGGGAGACCGGATATAGTGAATGCGGGGTCCGGGGAGAGCGGATATAGTGAATGCGGGGTCCGGGGAGACCAGATATAGTGAATGCGGGGTCCGGGGAGACCAGATATAGTGAATGTGGGGTCCGGGGAGACAGGATACAGTGAATGCGGGGTCCGGGGAGAGCGGATATAGTGAATGCGGGGTCCGGGGAGAGCGGATATAGTGAATGCGGGGTCCGGGGAGAGCGGATATAGTGAATGCGGGGTCCGGGGAGACCGGATATAGTGAATGCGGGGTCCAGGGAGAGCGGATATAGTGAATGCAGGGTCCGGGGAGACCAGATATAGTGAATGCGGGGTCCGGGGAGACCGGATATAGTGAATGCGGGGTCCGGGGAGAGAGGATATAGTGAATGCGGGGTCCGGGGAGAGAGGATATAGGGAACGCGGGGTCCGGGGGGAGAGGATATAGGGAACGCGGGGTCTGGGGAGAGAGGATATAGGGAAGGCAGGGTCCGGGGTTTAGTAACATTTTAAACTGCAATATAATTCTAAGTCACTCAAATATTTAGAAAGATTTGCTGCTAAAGTATTCATCTGCAATATTTTAATGTTTTTATATATATATTTTATTGTTATTATATTCAGGAAAATACAGCAATATGGCCACTAGATGGAACCGAGGATCAGTATTTATTTGCCACGATCTTCAGCTCCATCTAGTGGCCGTAATGCAGTAAATTTTCCTGAAACCACTCTATTTTTATACAAATGCATAATATTTGACATGTAGAGGAAATAAAACATTCCATTTTGCAACATTCACACAGAACGAATGTATTAACAATGTTACTACTTGTGCTAGGTTGCTGTGCTTTTTTTTTTTTTTTAAATTCAATACACCCCCATGACAGTTGGTGTGGTGCCCCTACTACTTTACTATTACACTTGGACTTCTCTCAGGGCCTCCTGTTATTGGGGGTGCTCTGGTATATGTGAGCCTCATTGAAGAGTGCGGAGTATTATTAATGGGGGAGATCTAGAGCCTCTTATACATGTACCAGCAGTAAAAACCTGTCAGAGGTCCTAACCCCCTTCAAATTTTATTCCAAATAAAAGGGGGGAAAAAAAATGCAAGTTGCTTACACTGTAGTTTCCAGCCGCATTCAGTGTTGGTGGATGTAGACATTGGCAGACGCCAGAGGTGGAGTCCTGTACAAGGAGGCCATGCTACTTCCACCCAACAATCAAGGCTTGGAATGTAGACGTTCAGAGCCGTCTTCCGTGTTTACAATTCGGGAAGGGTCTCGCACATAGCCGTTGCCAATCTCTGTTTTGGCTCACGCTCTCTTTTATTCTTTCCCCGTCCCGTGGAATGTTGGTCGCAGGAAGTATCGCTGAAAGAATGGAACCAGCAACTGAAGATCAACAGGAAGTGCAGCCAGTCTGTGAGGTGAGATGCTCGTTTCCTTAGGGGGGGGGGGATAGGTCATAAGAAATGCCAATGCATGTCTGTCTGGGGACGGTCTGGGCTGATTGCCCTTTAGGGAATTTATATTGATGCGTGAAATGAAACCATACATGTAAGTACTTGGTAATACAGTACAGCAGAGCTCAGACTGGGAAAAGTACAACAGCGCAAAAAGCCAATCAGTTGTGCTTCGGAGCAAGGAATATGCTGATAGGAGGAGGAGAGAGCAGGGTGACAGATGAACTCTTTTAATCTGCTGATTCTATACAGTCTAGTAACAGGCTGGGGGGGGGGGGAGGCGTAGAGAGATTATCCCTCAGCCTTTCTCAACCAGGGTTCCTCCAGTGGTTGCTAGGGTTTCAGTATTTGCAAAGCTTGCTAGATGCCTCCATTCCATAGGAGTGCGCACAGGGTGTGCCAGATGTGCCTGGGCACGCCCTAATCACCCCGTATGCATGACTGTTATTGTGAATATAAGAACTAGTGAGCGCGCTAGAATAAAAGCAGCTAATGCACAATGGGAGACCAAAAATACCGAATAAATAGTAATGTAAGCAGGGGTTGCAGCGCTAAGAACTCAGTAAATATATAATGTCTCCAAAATAGTCTCCACACTCCTCTTATAATCAGTGGGCGATCTTTCCTCATCTCCTCATTGGTACACAGAGCAATAATCGTAACGTAAAATGTCACCAATAAATAGTTCATAAATAAAAAGTTCACAAATAAAATATGTAAAAAGACAGTTCATAAAGTGACTCTTGTGCTCCTGTTATTTCTGGAACCGGTGTCCGTGCAGTGATAAAGTAAGTAATATGCAAACTCACCTGATGCGCATATAAAATGCCCCTTTAAATCAGTATTCCAGATGTCATCAGTAATGGATCAGGAACTAGGTGGGCTTCCCTCTAAGGGGTGGTGGGTCAGCAGACAGGATCCGTATGGGCTTTATGTACGATCCACGTCTGCCAGAGTTCCCTTTAAGGGGTTAAACTGGTACTGCTCCCTGGGTGGTAATTCCTTCTATGGATACAGGGGTCCGTCCTGAGGCAGTTAGATCTGAGAATTGAAGACTCCCCCCCCAGGGGGTTAAAACAGAGGTACGCCCCTAGTGTAGTCGGGTTTAAAGGATTTTTAATAAGGCGTTTTCGGGTTGTTTAATTTCATGACTAAGTGACAGATCGGCATGGATGTCACTCCACTTCCTTCCTCAAACCTGAGCTCAATCTTTCCAAACCTGAGCTCTTAGTCTTCCCCCAGCCCCTGCCCCCCCCCCCCCCCCAAGATCTATCCAATCTCCAACCTCCGCCCCTTCCTCCAACCTCCGCCACGTCTCCAAGATACGACCGTTCCTAACCTCGGAAACCACTAAGCAACTTATTCACTCCCTTGTTATATCTCGCCTTGACTATTGTAACTCCCTCCTCATTGGCCGATCTCATCGCAGGCTATCCCCTCTTCAGTCTATCATGAATGCTGCTGCCAGACTCATCCACCCTTACTAACCATTCTGTATCCTTCACCCCTCTCTGCCAATCCCTCCACTGGCCTCCACCTCAGTGTCCTCCACCCCTCTCTGCCAATCCCGCTCCACTGGCCTCCATTCAGTGTCCTCCACCCCATCTCTGCCAATCCCTCCACTGGCCTCCACTCAGTATCCTCCATCCCTCTCTGCCAATCCTCCACTGGCCTGGCCTCCACTCAGTATCCTCCATCCCTCTCTGCCAATCCCTCCACTGGCCTCCACTCAGTGTCCTCCACCCCTCTCTGCCAATCCCTCCTACTGACCTCCACTCAGTGTCCTCCACCCCTCTCTGCCAATCCCTCCACTGCCCTCCACTCAGTGTCCTCCACCCCTCTCTGCCAATCCCTCCACTGGCCTCCCCTCAGTGTCCTCCATCCCTCTCTGCCGTCCCTCCACTGGCCTCCATTCAGTGTCTCTCCACCCTCTCTGCCAATCCCTCCACTGGCCTCCACTCAGTATCCTCCATCCCTCTCTGCCAATCCCTCCACTGGCCTCCACTCAGTATCCTCCATCCCTCTCTGCCAATCCCTCCACTGGCCTCCACTCAGTATCCTCCATCCCTCTCTGCCAATCTCTCCACTGGCCTCCACTCAGTGTCCTCCACCCCTCTCTGCCAATCCCTCCACTGACCTCCACTCAGTGTCCTTCCACCCCTCTCTGCCAATCCCTCCATTGGCCTCCACTCAGTGTCCTCCACCCCTCTCTGCCAATCCCTCCACTGGCTTCCCATTTCCCAACGAATAAAATTCAAAACACTAACAATAACGTTAAAAGCCATTTATAACTCCACGCCCCAAATTACATCACCAATCTTGTCTCCAAATATCACCCAAACTGTCCTCTCCCGCTCCTCGCACCGACCTCCTACTCTCTAGCTCCCTTATCTCCTCCTCCCATGCTCGTCTCCAGGACTTCTCCAGAGCTTCCCCCCCATCCTCTGGAACTCTCTACCCCCAATTTATCAGATTATCGCCTACTCTGCTCACTTTTAGGCGATCTCTGAAAACCTCTCTCTCCCCTTCAGGAAGCCTATCCTGCCCTCTGCTAATAATGGAATCTTCTATTCCTCCCTCCCAGTCCATCCCCCACAGTTATTACCTTTTGTACCACCAGCCCCTCCCCCCTTAGATTGTAAGCTCCCAGGATCAGGCCCTCCTATCCCTCCTTGTATTGAACTGTATTGTTGCTGTATTGTCTCCCGTTATATTGTAAAGCCTGAGCAAACTATTGGCGTGATATAAAAATCCTGTATAATAATAACTAATGACATGCCTTATTAAAATCCTTTAATCCCTACTACACTAGGGCCCCCCGATTCCTGTCCCTTAACCCCCTGGGGGGGAGTCTTCAATTCCCAGATCTAACTGCCTCAGGATGGACCCCTGTATCCATAGAAGGAATTACCCCCAGGGAGCAGTACCATTTAACCCCTTAAAGGGAACTCTGGCGGACCCAATGGATCGTACATAAAGCCCATACCGGATCCTGTCTGCTGACCCACCATCCCTCTAGAGGAGGAAGCCCACCTAGTTCCTGATCCCTTACTGATGACATCTGGAATACTGATTTACAGGTCTCTCGCATTTTATATGCCTCAGGTGAGTGGTGATGCCGCATTACTTACTTTATCACTGCAAGGACACCGGTTTCCAGAAATAACAGAGCACAAGAGTCACTTTATGAACTGTCCCCCTTTATATATTTTATTTGTGAACTTTTTATTTATGAACTATTTATTGAGACATTTTACGTTACTATTATTGCTCTGTGTGCCAATGAGGAGATGAGGAAAGATCGCCCCACTGAGCGGCTCTGCCCCGTCTTGGAGACTGAGCCTGCAGGCAGGGAGATAATGTGCCCACCGGGAGATCAGAAAGATACGTGTGTGTGTGAGCTTTGGGTGCATACCCTAATGCAGTGCACTTACACCCCAGTCAAATTGGGTGTGACTTGGCGTGTGATTTGCATGTCACACCCTATTGTCCGCTGTTTAGAGCGGTCATATCGGTGTGGTTCCCGCTCCTAGCACTGTTTCTCCCTCTCCCCCCCAGTCTGAGCTCTGCTGCACATTTGAGTGCAAGATGATACCCGCCCAAATTCAGGTTCTTGTCCTGCTTGCTTTACGTAGAAAATGCATGTTATGATTGTCATAGTGAATACAGAGCGGAGTTTATTTGTATCTTTTCGTATCTCCCCGGAGCTCAGCTTTAACTTTCGTCTTCTTGGAAAATGTTGACAATATCCCCATTTCCCAATATGGATTTTCTTTGTGCTACAAAAATAGGGAAATGAGCTCACCTGACTTCCTCAGCCTTGTTGATTCCTTAAAGGGAAATGAGTTCCGTGGGAGATGTTCTGGCGTCCAGTAAAGAAGGTGTAGGTGGGCGGAGCTTTGGGAACAACATTAATTCAGCAGGATTTACAGAATAGAAAGAATCATTTCCTACCTGTCATTGTTATCTGTGTTCCCACTGCTAGGAGTGAAGAGTTAGGAGGATTCCACATGTTGGGATTCACATCTGCCTGAAACCCCTTTCCTACTGCTTAACACTTTCCCTACTTTTTTTTAGATACTCCCCTTAACTACTACCTAATACTCCTACTGCCCAATGCCTCCTCCTTCATACTACCTGATACTCCTTTCCTTCTGCTTAATAATTCTGTCTCACTTCCAGATACTTCTACTACTACCAAATACTTCTTCCATATGGGACTGCTTTACTGCTCCTTTTACACTATCCAATACTCCTTTCCTACTGCCTGATAATACTTTTCACTCTTTGAAAATCCTAACCTATCCCCCTTTCCTTTCCCCCTACCCCCTACTCCTTTTTTTTTTTTTTTTTCCCCCCTTGCCTAATACTTCCTTTCAAACATCCTGATACTCCTTAACTACTAAACGAATACTCCTTTTCTCCCTGTCCTCCCCCCCATCTTCCCCCCTCCCCCCTCCCTTCCCCCCTCTCTACTTCCCCCCCCTCCCCTGTCCCTCCCTCTCTCTCCTCTCCTCCCCCTTCCCTCTGTCCCTCCCTCCCGTCCTCCCCCCTCCCTCTGTCCCCTCCCTCCTCTCGTCTCCCCCCTCCCTCGTCCCCTTCTCACCTCTCCCCCCCCCCCCTCCTCCCCGCCCCCTTCCCCCCTTCCCTTCCCCCCCCCCCCCCCCCCGCCCCACCCTCCCTGATCCCTCCACCTCCCTCACCCTTCCCCGTTCTTCCCCCCGTTCCCCCTCACCTCCGGCCCCCCTCTCCTCTCTCTCCCCCTCCCCGTTCCCTCTCCTCCTTGATTTTCCTCCCTCATCCCTTCCTCTCTCCATCTTCCCTCCCTCTCTCTCCCCCTCCCTGTCCCTTCCCCGCTCCCTTTCCCCCCTCCCCTTTCCCATCCTCGTCTTTTCCCTCTCTCTCCCCCACCCCCTCCCTCCTCCCTCCCGCTCCTTCTCCCCCCTCCCTTCCCCTCCCCTCCTCCCCCTCCCTCTCTCTTTTCTCCCCTCCCTCCTCCTCTTCTCTCCTCTCTTCTCCCTCCCTCTCCCTTCTCCTTCTCTCCTTCTCCTCCACCCTCCCCTCCCCCTCCCCTCCCCTCTTCTCCCCCTCCACCCGCCCCCTCTCTCTTCTCCCTCCCTCCCTCTCCCTCCCCCCGTCTCCTCCCCCTCCTTCTCATAACTCTCCCTCTCTCGCTTCCTCCCCCTCCCTCTCCTCTCCCTCTCTCCCTTCTTGTCCCTCTCTTTCCCTCCCTTCTCTCCTCCCCCTTTCTCTCTCCTTTTCTCCCCCTCCCTCCCTACCCTCTTTCCCCCCTCTCTCTCCCCCCGTCCTCTCCTCTCCCCCCCTTCCTCCCCGTCTCTTTCCCCCTCTCCTCCCCCCCTCCCTCCCCCCCCCCTCTCCCCCTCCCTCTCCCCCCCCCTTCTCTCCCCTCTCTCTCATCCCCCCTCGCTCCCCCCCCCTCTCCCCCCTTCCTCTCCTCTCCTCTTCTCCCTTTCTCCCCCCTCTCTCTTTTCCTCTCCCCCCCTCCTCTCCCCCCCTCTCTCTCCCTCCTCTCCCCCCCCTCCTTCTGTCCTCCCTCCCTCTCCTCCCTCTCTCTCTCCCTCCCTCTCCTTCCCTCTCCTCTCTCCTCTTTCCCTCTCTCCTCCCTCTCTTCTTTCTCTCCCTGCCTCTCTCTCACTCCTTCCCTCCTCTGCTTCTTCTCCCCTCCCTCCTTCCCTCTCCCTCCCTTTTCTCTCTCTCTCTCCCTCCTCTCCCCTCCCTCCTTTCTCCCTCCCTCTCTCCACCTCTCCCTCTCTCTTCCCCCCTCTCCTCTCTCCTCCCTCTCCCTCCCCCTTCCCTCCTCTCTCCCTTCCTTCCTCCCTCCTCTCTCTCTCCCTCCCTCACTTTCCTTTCTCTCTTATCTCTCTCTCTCCCCTCTCCCTCCTCTCCCCCTCTCCTCTCTCCTTCTCCCCCCTCTCTCTTTTCCCTCTCTCTCCCCCCTCTCTCCCCTTCCTCTCTCTCCCCTCACTCCCCCCCTTCTCTTCCTCTTCCCCCCCCCTTCCTCTCTGACCTCCTCTCTCTCCCCCCTCCCTTCTCTCTCCCCCCTCTCTTCCCTTTCCCTCTCTCTCCCCCCCCTTCTCTCCCTCCTTCTCCTCCCCCCGTCTCCCCTTCTCCCCCCTACTCCTCCCCCTATCTCTCTCCCTCCTTCCCCCTCCCTCCTCTCCCTCCCCCTTTTTCTCCTTCCACCCCTCTCCCTCTCCCTCTCTTCCCCCTTCCCCCTCCCTCTCTCCTCACTCTCCCTTCCCTCTCCCTCTCTCTCTCTCCCCTTCCCCTCCCTCTCCTCTCTCCTCTCTCCCTCTTCCCCCCCCTCTCCCTCTCTCATCCTTCCCCCTCCCTCTCCTCTCTCTCTCCCTTCCCCCTCACCTCTCCCCTCTCTCCCTTCCCCCCTCCCTCTCCCTCTCCTCTCCTTTCCCCCTCCCCTCACCCCACTCTCTCTCTTCCCCCTCCCTCTCCCCTCTTCTCTTCCCTTCCCCCTCCTCTCCTCCCCCTCTCTCTCCCTGTCCCCCGCCCTCTCTCCTCTCCCTCTCTCTCCCTTTCCCCCTCCCTCTCCCTCTCTCTCCCTTCCCCTCTCTCCTTCCCCCCTCTCTCCCCCCCCCCCCCCCCCAACACTCGTCCATCAGGAGCCCTCAGTCCTGATGCAAGCAATGTGCAGGCTCTTGGGAGGAGGTATGCAAAATGCCTTGGAGGGTGGATGTCCATCCGGAGTGGGTGATCCTAGGCAGGATGCGTTTTGCATGTATACCGCCCACATTTGATGCTGAGCCTTCATAACTGAATGAAAGAGGTGGGCCATGAGGAGGAAAGGGCTAGATGATGCTGGATGTCCTCCATCCAGA